ACTTAAGAAAATTATGGTAGGATGCATGTTGGAAATACATATCTTCGAGGTTCTTATATCCAGTTTTAAGAAAATTGAATATTGGGGATAATGATGAATTCTTCATAGTGATTTCCCCCTCTGTATGTTTATATGATTGCAATAAATTTGAATGTGTAAAATCTCAAGCAGTGTGAGGTTTGTTTGTTCTTATGTTTATTCCTTTTTTTAAACCAAGAATTGCAGACGTGATCTTGTCTCTTAAGTTGGTTTTAGCTAAATGATTCAGTCTTTTCCCCTGTGTTTGATCTTTCAGGTTGGACATATTTGACTTTCTTTTTCCAGGTTGACTTGACCAAAGCAATGGTGATGGAGAAGCCTAGTCCCCTGCTGGTCGGGCGGGAATTTGTGAGACAGTATTATACGCTGCTGAACCAGGCCCCAGACATGCTACATAGGTGAGACACATTGCTCCTGCGTTATCTAATGCTACTTTTTAGTATGTGGGCACTTACCCTTGAGGTACTCCCATTTATCATGTGCCTTGTAGGGTTGTTGTATAATATAGTTCTTTGTGCGTAAGTGCCAATAAATAATGGCTGTTAAAATTAAATAAGAATTTTAAAAAGAATAACTATTATTTAAAAAGTTAGACTGAAGTTACCTAAACTTACACATCATCAGAAAATAACGCCTGAAAATGTAAAGGTGTAATCATGTATTATTGGCCGAGAATGTGCCGAAGAAGATCCATGACTATTCCTGTAATAACATACGTTTGTGTGGATGTGCTTTTAAAAACTGGAGTACATTTTTAGTAGAAATGATGCATGCTTACTATTAGAACACAGATGTATAAGACAATTTATGGAAGTATGTAGTAATACTGCACTAAAAATTTTTCTGTGTATGCAAAGATGTTTTTAATATACTTTTAGCTTTTTTATTTTACTTGATTTGGGGTCGTACATGTATCACGTTCATTTCAATGGCCACCAAATTTTTTATTTTAGGGAGATGTATCAAACTTTTATCTTCTAATGATGGGTATATAGATTGCTTTAACTGTTTCCTTTTACAGAAAATGTTGCATTATACAAAACTCTATTAATGTGGACTTGTTAGAATAGAGGTTTCAAAATGTGGATTTGCTGGACCAGATTATTTTTTCCTTTATGTTTGGATCAGCTTACATGTTGGATGCCACATGATTATTAAGTGTAAAGGAAAATTTATAAATTTGTTTTCAGTACAGGATTTGGCATTGTTCTGAAGATGGAAAATCTCCCTCTCTTTTTTTTTTTTTTTTTT